ATACGTACACCATGGTGACTATAATTATTAATACAGTATAGTATACTTGAAAGTTGATAAAAGTACATCTTAAGGGTTTTTACTACATAGAAAAGTTAACTATGGTAATTATGTGAGGTGATAGATGTGTTAATTATCTTAATCTTGGCAATTACTCTATATCATATATATATCTGATATATATGTATATATATCAGACCATCACATTGGACACTTTAAATAAATACAATTATATTTGTCAACTTTCCTCAAAAAGTTAAAAAGAAAAAATATATCAATCATTTGGATGTCTAAAAAAAAAAAGAAAAAGTGAGATACTAGGCTAAAACCCAAAATCTCTATTGTATTCATGGCACATTTTCATACTGTGCCAAGAGTAAAGACTATTTTCTTTCAAAGGAAATAAAATATTAATGTTCAAAGATTACACAAATAAATGTGTAAAATTCCACTGCAGAAATTAAAAATAAAAGTTTTAAGTTTTTATTTCCATCATTTTGAAATGGTACATAAACAACTGAACTATATCTTTATTTCACTGACCCTTTTTCATGCCATAGTAATTTAAATATCATAGTAAGTCTCTGAGGTTAACTAATTAATTTGTAGTGTAAATTATATTGTTCTTCTCATATTCAATATACACACACTCATATCAATCATAAAACAATACTCATATTGCATATAATGGCCAAACAGTATTTATTTGGATGGCTTATTTTCAAACAAGTAGACAATTTTTTATTTTTCTTATCACAAAACCTATATTATCATATCTTACTATATATCTATATATTCCTATATATCTTATAACTTAATGAGAAATTTTCAACAATATATCTATTATTCATATGTCATAAACTGACCTATAATAAGGTAATATATATATATAATGGTTAAAAGTATGGCCTTTTGAGCCAGGCAATCCTCAGTTTCAAAGTCAGCTACACCTCTGTCAGTCATGCAATTCAAGGGAGATAACTTTACATCTCTGAGCATTAGTTGCCTTACCTACATAGAGACATATAGTATCTCAGAAGATTTCTGTATTAAATGAGGTAAACTATGTATATCATCTATCATAGTGTCTGATGAGCAATAAATTAATTGGTTTTTATTGATTTTTCTTCTTAATGTTCTTGCTGCTACTAATGTTAAATTTTTATCTAAATGTAAAAATATTTTATTTATCTTAAAATCTCACTTTATGAAAACCATTTTGTTCACTATCTATCCTCCCTACATTTATTGAGCTCCTTGTTATATGACTGATAGAGAACTGGAGAACCAAATAAGAAACCATCCCTGATTTCAAGGTTTCAGTGAAAAGGAAAAAGAAAGAAATATAATAAAGGCTAGCATATAAGAGCCTAAGAGGTAGGTGGAGACAGCCAAACTTGCCTGAGAGGTACTGTTTCTCAGAAGAAGAAATGCTGGACTGAGTCTGAATTAACATTTTACCAGGAAGAGAAAGGGATCTAGGTCACAGAGAAAACAGTATCTACAAACACAAGGAGGTTTGAGAAAAGTTGGTAGATTGGGGGACAGCAAGCAATTATTCATGAGAACTAGAAGAAAATTAATTTCTCCCTACCTTTCTATTGCTCAAATTACTTCATTCAACAAATAAATACAGTATTAATTTAGAGCTAATTTCATAAGCACTCTGCTTGGTTCTTTGGGAAAACAGGGATTAATCAGATTCAGATTCCGTCCTGAAGCAGGTAAGTGTAGTAGAAGAGAATAAAGTTTTTAAAATTCATGAAAAGTGTCAGGTATCTATAGAAGGATAAAGTTAGGGTTGTCTTGCTGTTTTTCCAAGGGAAATATTACTTATACAGAGGGAGGTATGGAAAAAACAGACCAGGGATTCATTGGAGAGTTCATATTTGACCTGCAGAACTTATTTCTCATGAGAAAAACAGATTATCCCCCAGTTCAGGGCCAAGCAATATACAAAGCACTTTACATATTCTACAGTTCAGAAAGAAAAAAATACTTATGGGAGCCTATCTTAAGGCAATATACTCCATCCACATGAAAAAACATTTCCCAATCATTGAATCTCTTAACCACCTAACTCTTCTGTAAGTTTGGATGCACCGACAGAATCCTGTTCAACACATCAGGCAGCCACAGTCAGTAGCTCAGAGTTAGCACATAAGAGAATACCCCTGTGACTTTCCTGTTTTAAATAATCTAAAATAAATCCCTGAATTCAAATTAGATCAGATGAAAGCTGCATATGTCAAACAAATTGTTTCAAGTGCCAACTAAATTGCTTTCACTAAGATGCCCTTTAGCATTATGCCCTCAGTCTACAATAAAGGATGTCACAAAACACACTCCTATAAAATATGTTATAAACACCATAGGGATATTATTGAGGATGATATTCATCACATTTCAGTGTCTACTTTAGGAAACCTAATAGGAAGAATTTCTATAAGATCTCAATATTTGGTTTATTTTTATCTTATGAACGTTGTTTTTCTCTTGGCACTGGCTACCAGAAAACTCTGTTAAATTTATTACCTACCTATAGCAAATTTATGGGAACTCATAGCATGCATTTTATGTACTCATCCAGCTGAATTTTCTTTTGCTATTTCCTCTTTCTGAGATTTTCTCACTTATTTATTTTTTAAATATTATTATTTGGTATATATTTTGGTAAGATGTTTTAATTTTTTAAACAATGAAATACAATTTTTTTTTTCTTTAAGATGTAAGGTAGGCATCATTCCCCATTAAACGATGAGGAAACTATGGCTGTTTTCAAGTAAGGATTTAAATTTTAGCCTGACTCCAAAGGGTATCCACTTAAGCACTCTACTATTACTGCAAGGTTTATGCACTACTAGCACAGATACAATTGATATAAACCAATTGTTCATATACTGTTGGACAAATATGCATTATTATTTTGGATACTATGTGGTCAAATGGAGTAATTTCTTCTACTGAGCGTTTCAGTAAAGGATGGGAAAAAATAACTAAGGTTAAGGAAAATATGATCTAAGAAAGAAATCCGGATTATTTCAGACTGTAAGTAAACCAAAACAACACATGATCTTTAAAAGAATAATTTCAACCCTTATACAGTTGTTTTATTATAAAGAGCCTTCCTCTCTTTATCTGAGGTAAAAAGAATTCAAAAGATATTTTCTAAATACCAAATACATCCCAGACAAGGCAATAACGCAAAATTCAAGAAAAGTAGAAGAAATTGTTCTTAATTATGTGGACAGTGTTCAGGTCTGAATGGAAGAACAATGCTATAGTACTAATTATGAGTTGAATTATGTCCCCCAAAATTCATATCAAAGTCCAAACACCTGGTGGGGGGTGGGAGGGATGGGGTGGCTGCGTGATAGACACTGGGGAGGGTATGTGCTATGGTGAGTGCTGTGAATTGTTTAAGACTGTTGAATCACAAACCTGTACCTCTGAAACAAATAATACATTATATGCTAAAAAAAAAAAAAAGAAGAAGAAGAAGATAGCAGGAAGGGAAAAATGAAGGGGGGGAAATCGGAAGGGGAGACGAACCATGAGAGACTATGGACTCTGAGAAACAAACTGAGGGTTCTAGAGGGGAGGGGGGTGGGGGGATGGGTTAGCCTGGTGATGGGTATTAAGGAGGGACGGATTGAATGGAACACTGGGTGTTATATGCAAACAAGGAATTATGGAACGCTACATCAAAACTAATGATGTAATGTATGGTGATTAACATAACATAATAAAAAAAAAAGTCCAAACACCCAATACCTCAGAATGTGACCTCACTAGGAAATAGCGTCTCTACAAAGGTAATCAAGTTAAAATGTGGTCATTAGAGTGGCCCCTGATCCAATATGACTGGCAGCCTCATAAAGAGGGAATATTTAGAGAAAGCCATGCATTCAGGGAGAATGCCAAGTGAAGATGAAGGCAGGGATCGGGGTGATGATTCTACAAACCAAAGAATACCAAAGACTGCTAGCAAATCACCAGAAGCTAGACAAAAGACATGGAATATATTCTTCACAATCCTTAGAAGGAACCAACCCTACTGATGCCTTGATCTCAGATTTCCAGAACTATTAGATAATAAATTTCTGTTGTTTAAGCCACACATTTGCGGTTCTTTGTTATGGCAGCTGAAGCAAATTAAAATAGCATGGAATAAACCAGGAGAAAAATCTTACCTAAACAAGTTTTCAATTGTTGATAAACAACCAATGTTCTTAGGGTTCAGAGAAGTGTCACATAACTGACACTGCCATGTCCCTCCAATCAATGACATACACGCATGCACACACACACACATTATGAAAACCAAAAATAATCAACAATTATTTATAAAACAAAATTATGTTTACCTCTCTCATTAAAATTTTCAAAATATTCTGAATATGTACTATGTGCCATTCAGAGTATGAGGTTCGGGGCACAAAAAAGTTAACAAGATCCAATCCCTACTGGATGGGAATTTATAATCAAGTTTCAATCTTCCCATTCAAAATACCCACAGCATTTGATGATTGTGATGCAATATTACTTTTGCTGTGTGGTTTGTGTTCAACTGAATCTGTTCCCTAATCATTTCTTTATACGGAGACCTCTCAGACAAAGATTAAGTTCTGTGAGCATGTCATGCAGAACCAGGTACATGATAAACATTCAATAATTAATGATTTATCATATAGTCAAATTATATCTATTTTATCCCAAAAGAAATAATATCTGAAGTTATTTAATAAAATATAAGGTGCTATATCAATGCTCATTAATATTACCATTAAACCATTAAATAATCACTTATACCAACAAAAACATAGCATTTCCTTTTCAAGTAGTTCCAAGTTAATTCTTTGAAAATTGGTTTTTCCCTGACAACTTAGTCCATTATGATGAAATATTAAATGGGTTGAATCACACTGAATGGTCAGATGAATTGGGATTTTGAAACAATCTAAGACAAATTCAAAAGCAATGGTCTTCAATACACTCACCACTTTCAAAGCAAGCATCAAAGATAAGATGTCCTTTCTTGGACTGTCCACAGTATCCAGATGGAAGCACCATATATTTGCTCACATTCCCTCCGATGGCATCGTCATTTCCCATATCATTGCCTATTTTTTAAAAAAAGGCTCATGTTTAACAGAAATCAAAATATATTTAAGAATATAAATCCAATAAGATTTTTATTATCAATTTTCCCCCTCCCTTGTCATTTATTGCTTATCAAACAGTAAGAAATGAACTGCATAATGTTGTAGAGTAGAAACAAGATACATTCTGGAATCAGAAACATAAGGTCTGAAATCTCACCTCTACTAAATATTAATTCTGTGATACAAAGCAATCAACTTAATCCCCTTAAGCCTCAGTTTTTCTCATCCATAATTAAGGAATGGCAAAACCAATCCTTCAAAATTATGTTATGAGAATTAGATATGAAAGTATCTAGCACAACTACTAAAACCCAAAAGATGTTCATTAAATTGCACCAAGTAGTTAATATATTTAAATCCTCAGAAATGTTCATTTAGGGGAGCCTGGGTGGCTCAGTTAAGCATCTGCCTTTGGCTCAGGTCATGATCCCAGGGTCCTGGGATTGAGCGCCGCATCAAGCTTCCTGCTCAGTGGGGAGTCTGCTTGTCCCTAACCCTCCGCCTCTCCCCTCCCAACCCGTGCGTTCTCTCTCTCTCACTCTCTCTTGCATGGGTGCTCTCTCTCTCTTTCTCAAATAAATAAAATCTTTAAAAAAAAAAAGAACTGTTTAATTATTTTAATTCAAATAAAACAATAATTATATAACTAGCATTATAACTTCCTAATGTTCCACAACCAGAAATAATTTGAGAACTACTGAATTAATATAGACGTTATATTACACTGTTGGTGGGAATGCAAGCTGGAACAGCCACTCTGGAAAATAGTATGGAGATTCCTCAAAAAGTTGAAAATAAAGCTACCCTATGACCCAGCAGTTGCACTACTAGGTATTTACCCCCAAGATACAAACGTAGTGTTCCGAAGGGGCACCTGCACTCCAATGTTCATAGCAGCAAAGTCCACAATAGCCAAACTGTAGAAAGAGCCAAGATGTCCATCAACAGATGAATGGATAAAGAAGATGTGGTATATATATACAATGGAATATTACTCAGCCATCAGAAAGGATGAATACTTATGATTTACATTGACATGGACAGAACTGGAGGGTAATATGCTAAGTGAAATAAGTCAGTCACAGAAAGACAATTATCATATAGTTTCACTCATATGTGGAATATAAGAAACCATGCAGAGGATCATAGGGGAAGGGAGGGAAACTGAAGGGGAGGTCATCAGAGAGGGAGAAAAACCATGAGAGACTCCTAACTATAAGAAAAAAACTGGGGGGTTCTAGAGGGGGGGGATGGGGTTATTGGGTGATGGGTATTAAGGAGGTCACATGATGTGATAAGCATTGAGTGTTATACGCAACTGATGAATTACTGAACACTACATCTGAAAGTAATGATGTACTATATGTTGGCTAATTGAATTTAAATTAAAAAAAAGAAGTTATATTTCTTAATAGGAACTTTAATTTTTTTTTTATTTTAGAAGTTTCACTTCTAGTTGGATGTATAAAGTTGAAAAAAATCATTGCTTCCACCTTAATAAGATATATCCCAACAAGGAACAAAATCGTAACTTATAAAAATCTATCAGAAAATGGAAATTGCAGGGCAACAATAATCTGATACCCAAGGAAAGTCAGGCCCCACCAAAAAAGGAGGGAAGCAAGCACTTTATGGCAGAGCACAGGAGAAAGAAATGCTTGGTGCCATACAACTGAATAAAAAGAATTAAGCTAAAAAATTTTTTTAACTATTAAAAATCAAGTATAGGAAATAGGAGAGTATAGAATCTCTGAGAGTCATAGACACAAAGGGAATTCACACTCACTGGCAGACTCTTCTGTACATGCCTCCATCAGATGTTTAGGAGAAAGATTAGTGGCAGGGCAGAAAAATAAAAAATGCCTTTCATTGTAATGCAGGAATGGAGAAGGGGATGGGCTTCTGTTATAGAAAAAGGCATGAAACCCCATCAATATCCTTTTCCCTTATGGAGAAGAAAAAGACCTTAAGCCACTAGGGGATAAATAGCAAGCCTTAAAACCCCAGTGCACAAATAAGACTCCAAACAGGAGGAGGAACACCAAAAGAAAATATCCTCTATACCTGCAGGAGGGGAAGAAAAGACTGTCTCACACAAGACCCATCAATGATTCAAGGCAGAGATGAAAAGAGGGAAGATAGATGGGATCATTGAAAAAACTCCACCCCAAGATCACAGCATATAGGACCTTCCTAAGGTTAGGTCCTGGTCTTAGGCTAGACCAAGACAACAGAAATACTCTTGCTCCCTCAATTCTAAAATAGCAAGCACTAAAAAAACAACTGTCATCTACTGCTAGAGATGAGACAAAAGCATGGAAATAAACCCTGTCTGTGTCAGGAATACCCAGCAAAGGACAAAAGTTTAGGGTGGATGAATGAGGAAAAACTCTCAATCACTCTACCCCTTTCCCTCAGGAATAAGGTAACCCTAAAGACTCCACCAAACAACTACTAGAACTGATGAATGAATTCAGTGAGGTCACAGGATACAAAATCAATATACAGAAACCTGTTGCGTTTCTATACAATATTTATAAAGTAGCAAAAAAAGAAATTAATAAAACAACCTGAATTCACAATTACACCAAAAATAATAAGATACCTAGAAATAAAATTAACCAAGGAGGTGTAAGACCTGTACTGTGAAAGCTATAAAACACTGATGAAAAAAATTAAAGATGATACAAACAAATGGAAAGATATTCCATGCTCATGGATTGGAAAAACAACTATCGTTAAAATGCCTATACTACCCAAAGCAATCTACTGATTTAATGCAATCCCTACCAAAATACCAACAACATTTTTCACAGAACTAGAACAAATAATTCTAAAATTTGTGTGAAACCACCAAACACCCTGAACAGCCAAAGCAATCTTGAAAAAGGAAAACAAAACTAGAAGTATCACAATTTCAAGATACACTGCAAAGCTGTAGTAATCAAAACAGTATGGTACTGTCACAAAAAGAGATACATAGATCAAGAGAAGAGAATAAAGAGCCCAGAAATAAATCCATGATTATTTGGTCAATTAATCTTTGACAAAGGAGGCAAGAATATGCAATGGGAAAAAGTCTCTTCAACAAAGGGGGTTAAGAAAACTGGACAGCTATATATAAATGAATAAAATTGGATCACTTTCTTACACCCTACACAAAAATAAACTCAAAATGGACTTAGGACCTAAATGTGAGATCTGGAGCCATAAAAATCCTAGAAGAGAGCACAGGCAGCAATTTCTCTGACATCAGCCATAGCAACATTTTTCTAGATATGTCTCCTCAGGCATGAGAAATAAAAGCCAAAACAAACCTTTGGGACTACATCAAAATAAAAAGCTTCTACACAGCAAAGGAAATCATCAACAAAACTAAAAGTGTACTGAATGGGTAAAGATATTGGCAAATAACATATATGATAGAGGGTTAGTATTCAAAATATATAAAGAACTTATAGAACAACACCCAAAAAACAAATAATCCAATTTAAAAATGGGCACAAGACATGGATAGACATTTCACCAAAGAAGACATAAGATAACCACCAGACACGTGAAAAGATGGCCCAACATCACTCATCACCAGGAAAATGCAAATCAAAACCACAATGAAATATCACCTCATACATGTCAGAATGGTTAAATCAAAAACACAAGAAGCAAGTGTTCACAAAGATATGGAGAAAAAGGAACCATCGTGCACTGTTGGTAAGAATACAAACTGGTATGGCCACTATGGAAAACAGTATGGCAGTTCCTCAAAAATCAAAAATAGAACTACCATATGATCCAGTAATTCCTCTCCTGGGTATTTCCCCAAAGAATACAAAACACTAATTCAAAAAGATATATACACTCCTATATTTACTGCAGCATTATTTACAATAGCCAAATTATGGAAGCAACCCAAGTGTCCATCAACAAATGAATGGAAAAAGAAGATGTGATATATCTGGAATAGATAAAGAACATGTGATATATAGATATACAGATAAATAGATATATAGCTTTAATAGAATATTACTCAGCCATATAAAGAATGAAATCTTGGGCGCCTGGGTGGCTCAGTCAGTTAAGCGACTGCCTTCGGCTCAGGTCATGATCCCAGGGTCCTGGGATCGAGTCCCACATCGGGCTCCCTGCTCTGCAGGGAGCCTGCTTCTCCCTCTCCCACTCCCCCTGCTTGTGTTCCCTCTCTCGCTGTGTCTCTCTCTGTCAAACAAATAAGTAAAATCTTAAAAAAAAAAAGAATGAAATCTTACTGTTTGCAACAACATAGAGTGTATAATGCTAAGCAAAGTAAATCAGAGAAAAACGAATGCCGTATGATTTCACTTATATGTGGAATTTCAGAAACAAAACAAATGAATAAAGGAAAAAATAGACAAAAGAACAGACTCTTAAATACAGAGAACAAACTGATGATTACCAGAGGGAGGAAGGTTGGGGGGGGGGGGCAGTGGATGAAACAGCTGAAGGGGATTAAGAGTACACTTACATGATGATGAGCACTGAGTAATGTATAGAATTGTTGAATCACTATATTGTATACCTGAAACTAATATAACACTACACATTAATTATACTGGAATTTAATTTTTTAATTTTAAAAATAAATTAATTAATTAAAATGTTTTTTAAAAGTAACTCTAGAAGAATATGAAGCCAGTCATAGACTCAAGATAACCATAGCAACAATGAAACTTAACCTAGCTTAACTCTTGACTAGGTTGACATAAGCCCTCACACAAATGACCAGGAGAAGAGGTTTATCCATTCCCAGTGACAAATAGTATTTTCTATCATTGCCTACTGTTCTACACTAGAAGCCAAGTATACAACACAAAATTGTTGAACATACAAAAAAAATCAAGAAAAAACAACCTACTGTCTATGAAGAGCAATTAATTGAAGTAGATTCAGAAATGACTAGACACTGGAATTATCAGACAATG